TGGACGTTGAGACGAATGTCAGAGACGAGACGAGACGAGACGAGAAATACAAAGAGAAGCGTGAAGAAATCTGCTTGTTGGAAAAATATATGTGTCGATTTTTGTGTTACAAAAAGAGAAAAAAAAATAAGAGAATCGAGAAGTCAATAGATTTGTGTGTATTATAATGAGAATCAAAACTCTCTATTTATAAGAAAGGAATATGAACATATATGGTAATAATATATAGGGTTGTCGGGGTACAAGTGTCATTCACATTAAACCCTAATTTACTTTCCTTTTACAACACTCCCCTTGAATGACACATTAAAAAATATTTGTCTCGTTAAAACCTTGTTTGATAAAAATTCAACGGGGAAAAAATAAACGAAAGAAAGAAAAATAGTACAATTATTTTCAATGGTCAAAAAATGTGGAGTGGTGGAAAGCTCAATTTTTTTTTGGCTTGTTTTGAAAGATGATACCATGATATTTGAACAATATTAGGAAAAAAAAAAGTTTATATAGTATTTATTTTCGGGTTTAGTGTTTGTTTGGGGGAAGAATTGATTTTTGAATAGTGATATGATGGGAATGTGTGATTGGAAAAGAAGAAAAAATTATTGATGTGATGAAAAATATTATTTTATTGAAAAATGTGTGGTTGAAAATGAGAATTGATTTACTGTAAAATTTGAGAATAAAAAACAAACAAGCCCTTAGTGTGTTCAATGCTGTCGAATATCAAACACGTCCTTAATATAGTCCATGTATGACAACCGTTAAACATAATTTTTTTTTTTTTTTTGAGAAAATAAGTTTTAAAATGATAATTTTCTGGAAAATTGGTAGTTAAAAAATAGAAAAAAATTTTGAATTTATGTGCAGAATATTTTACCGTGAGAATGTGTGTTAAAAATGAGTATGAGCAAAGAAAAAGTTTTATAAAAATGATTGTCAAACAAGAGCATAGTTTCATCCAATTGCTCGCGATGCTTTTGGTAGGAAGAATTATGTATTAATAGAAATTAAAAAAAAATTAAAATGTCATTAATTACGTTAGCCAATCATATTAAGGGCACATTTGAAAGAATTTTGAAAAGTCAAAAGTTGCTTATGAAATTGAGAAGCTATTTTTGAATATGATTAAAATCTTTTTTGGATTGTTTAGTCTGATCAGAAGAACTTGTAAAAAAATAACGTAAAGTAACTTCTTCAGGAAGTTATTTTACTAGAAGTTGAAGCAAAAATAGAAGTCTTGTCAAACACATCATAAGTATTGCATGCTAACATCCACTTAGGCTGTGTTTGATTGGCCGGATTTTCCATGGAAAATGGAAAATT